CCAGGAGGAGCAAAAGAGGCCATCGGAGTCTGCAGGACAGGCTCCCTTCCGCTCGCGAGGGCAAAGCTTCCTTTTTTCTGCAAAGCCACCGAGAGCAGCCCGCTCGCCACCAGGCCCCGAGGGACGGCAGCAGCATTTACAGCAAGGTATAAAAGCCGGCCTGACGCGTGAGCCTTACACACCGAGCACAACCTGCGTTGCAGCGGACACCGTGAGCAACGGCCCGGTCAACGCCGTCTCTGCATCCTTGTCAACGCGGGGAGGAAACTTCAAGCACGATCTCTGCTGTCAAGAACGTGCGATCTCACTGGTGAGGAAAAATAAAACACATGCTTACAAGAAAGAGCTGGCAACAGGCCCCCTGGAGGAAAAGAAAAAAAAAACACACACTAAGCTCATAATGGAGATCTAATAAAAAACAGATTTTTCAACACTAAATAAACGGTCCGTTTTTATTAGGCTGGGCCAGAGTAAAGAATTAGTAAAGCTCACAAAGTTGGTCAACGGCAAAGCAAATGATAAAAAGCCACAGGACTCCTCGAGATCGCGCGAAGACCTTGCTGTTTACCTGTCACACAGCCGTCACCTCCGAGACACGACACCACGCCCTCCTCCCCAGCTCCTCTCTGCCGTCTGTAAACGGACAGAACTGCCAGCTCCCCTTCCGACGGAGACAGTCATGCAAGCTGCGGCTCGCAAACCTCCAAGCGCCCGGAATCACCTGGAAACTGCCTTCCTGCCGGGCTTCTCAGCTCCCGACCCGTGGGCCAGATAATTCCTGTGGGGGGGACACGGGGGCTGTTTGGTGTATTATGAGAAGTTTAGCATGACTGACCCCGGTCTCCATCCACTAGGTGCCAGGATCACCCTCCCACGGAGCTCGTTCTCCTGGATGCAACTGGGCGTGTGCAGTCCTGCCCACTGGGGTCACCCTCCCTCCCGGGGTCACCCTCCCTCCCTCACAAACCCCACTCCTTCCCTCCCCTGCCTCCCCGTCATACAAATATACGTCTGCTCCCCTTGGCTGCCAAGCCCTCCCAACTAGAACAGACCTGCCCCCTACACACGGATGTTGGACCTGACCTTGTTACTTGCTCTGGACAACAGGCGGGTAGTGGCTGTGACGGGCGGACATTTTAAATGCGTCCGCATAGCTTGGCGGGGCTTTTTCTTACAACAGGTGGGAGAAGCACCATGATGAGCCTCAGGAACCCGCCGGCCTCGGAATGGACGTGGTTCAGCCCTAAATCCAGCCCCAAACCCGACTGGGCCTACCTGATTCCACCCCGCACAGCCCAGGGGAGCCAGCCGGCGCGATGACTCATAAGCAGGAAGCGCGTGCTTGTTGCTGTAAGCCTCTGAACTTGGGGGGGGCAGGGGGGATGTTTGTTACGCAACATCGGTGGGCCAGAAAGCTGACTGATACACTCCCAAAACATTTGTGAACCGAAACGCTGATTCCCAAGCGGACGTTATTGTGACTCTTTTGTCTCTAACCCTACTTGTCATCCTCCATTAGCCAGCAATTCACGTCCCCTAAAGGTACATGGGGTATCTTCGAAGTTCTGGGGGCCGGGCCCCACCCACGGCGTCTGCTATCGTGGTGATCTTTCCCACAGACGCCTGGGACTCAGAGACGCTAAGCCGAGGGAATGGTTGTGGCAGACTCCCCCAAACGCCCCCAGACCGCGGAGGCTGTGGGAGAGAGGGAGGGTCCAGAGGTCTCCGAGCTCCACCAACAACCCCAGGTCAGACAGAACCCCCTCTGGCTGTGCTCACAGACTCAGACAGTGGCTGCACCTCACTGAAAGGGACGCCCACAAACCAAATGACTCTATGGCACCCTGGATTCTCAGTTATTTGAGAGACAATCAGCAAATATTAAATAAATAAACAAAGTCTGCAGGTTACAGAGGAACAGACCGACACAAACACAAACAAACAAACAAAAAAAATGAGTCTCTCCTTGAAGACAATCGATACAGCGAGCAGCCTAACAGCCCCCAGAGATGTCCACGTCCTCACCCCGGCACCCCTCCCATAGCAAAGAGACTCTGCAGATGTGACGAAGTTAAGAATCTCGAGATGCGGACTCGACCCTGTATGATCCGGGTGGGCCCGATGTCACCACACGAGCCCTTAAAAGTGGGGAAACTGTCCAGGCTGAGTCCTCAGGGAGATGGGACGAGGGAGGGGCGGCCCAGTGCTGGCTTCGAAGGTGGGGAAGGGGCCGCAAGCCAAGGAATTCGGACGACCTCTGGACTGGGGCAAAAACATACCCCAGGAAAGGGCTCTTCCCTGAGAGCTCCGGGGAAGAACAGGAGGCCCTGGCGACACCGTGAGACCCACTTCGGATGTCTGCCCTCTAGAACTGCAAGACAATGACCTCGACTGTTCAAGCCGGTAAGTTAGTCCGGGGTCACCTGTCACAGCAACGAGAGACTCGTAGTCGATTATGAGATGAACGTCGAAAACGCACGTGACTTCGGCCTCACCGAAAAGCTCTTTGTTATAAGACAATGTCCCAGAGGGTCGTGGCCTGCGGATGGCACAGAAAGGCCACCATCCGTCACCTCCCACCTGACCGGGGAACGGTAAGGAGGTTTATAAACACGGGACAGCAAACAACACTACGATTCTGTTACGGCGTACGCCAGGGCTGTGGCTTTGGGGAAGCCCCGGAAAGCAGCCGAAGTGTGGCTGGAACCCCACGACCTCAGGGATGCAAGGGTCCCCAGACCACCCCCTCGGGAAATCCAACCGTGCTACCTCTCTCTCTTCCTATGAAAGGGCCTCGCAAGACCCCACCCAAAAGAGCAGGCCAAGAGACGGGTCCCCAGGTTCCGCTTTAAGTGACCAAACGGTTTCCTGTGCTGATCTTTGCAGGAAAGGAAGGACAAGGCAAAATGAGAGAAGATCACCATGGATGCCAGATCGGACCTGAACTGGCGTCAGAGGCTCCAGCTGTGAACCGTCTTCGCCCCCCACGTCGTCTGAGGGGACCCCAGCCCGTGACTCTCTTCCACCTCGACACCCCTGAGCCCCAGCCTTCCCAGACTGCTCCCCGTTCCCACAAGACGGGTACCGAGGAACTGGGACGACCCACGCTCCGACACGGGGGAACCCCAAAAACGTTACGGCAAAGAAGTCAGACAAGAAAGACCACGGACAGCATGGCCCCATTTATGAGAAACGGGGGAGAAGATGAACTTGGAGAAGCAGCAGACCGCGGGCCGCCGGGGGCCGGGGGCGGCGGGGGAGCGAGCAGTGACGTCTGCACAGGTGTGGGCTCCTTCTCAGCGTGACGCGAGCATCACCCAGCACCCATGACTGCCCGGCTCTGCAAAACCACCACGCAACTCCGAATTACATACACTGCAAACGAGCTGCCGGCTGTGTGAACAGCATCTCAATAAAACTGTCCCATTAAATAAAGACTAAGTGACGAAGACACGACGGTGCCGTCACTGACAATGCTCACACAGTGACCCAGCTCGGCAAGTCAGTCTGCGTGAGGACGCGGGACTCCTGCGTGGTGATCGGCCGCCAGCATCCCGAGGAAAGACTCTGAAGGCCAAAGATGCTGAGGTCAAAACCGAGCGAGGAGAAGTCATGACCGAGGCCGTGTGACAGAACGGGCGAGGGGCGAGGGGCGGGGTGCGGAGACCCCGCAGTGCACGATCAAATGGACGAAGACGCCTTTGCGGAAAGAATCGTTCGCGGGAACTTAAGCTTCCTCTCTAAGATAAAGGTAGCATCTTTCCTCGCTCCTTATTATTATTATGAAAAATGCTCTGGCGAAGGCAGCACATGGCTGCAGAGAGCGCGTCTAGCTGCTGCCCCATACGCGATATTCCTGAAAAGCAAACGAAGATCAGATCCGTGTGCTGGTTCGGAGGGGGCGGGGGTGGGGACGGAGAGATTTTGTCCCCCGTGAGAGGCCAGGCAAGCAGCGGCCGCGCTCCCCACAACGCCCCAGGGGACACAGCCACACCCGGGAGCCCGACACAGGGCCCGGGCCCCAGCCTGCCCCACCTGGGTCCAAAGAAGGCAGACCCCTGTCGATGGGGACACCATGGCTGCCGTTTTGGTGACATCTGCGCCCGACCAACCCCCAAACGATTCCAGGTATCAGCCTTTGACGTGAAGAAGCCAAACCCAGAAGCCAAAAGGAAAAGACAGACACATTTGACCACACACATGGGCGGACCTTGGCGATAAAAATCACGAGCGCCACGAGACGAGAAAAGGTCTAGTGGGGACGTATCGGGAACAAGTGACTACAGAGCCGCAGCCACCGCCACTCGCAAAGGCCTCCCCGAGGCAGGGTCCCTACGGCTGCGCAGTCTGGGCCGGCAGCGCTGGGCGCTCGTGGGAACCACAGTCCAGGCCCCGCCTGATACCCACGAATGCACGAATCTTGCTCCGACAAGCTCTGCGGGGTCCGGCACCTGACCGTTTGAGAACCACGATGGCCGCGAAAATATTTAAGGCAGCCCCGTACCAGCCAAACACAGAAACACAGCGCACGGCCACACACAGACGGCCGCGTATCCGCAGACGGCGAAATCCCGCCAGCACCAACGAGGGACGCGTCAGTGACACCGGCCACAACGTGAAGCCCCAAATCGTCACGTTCGGTAAAGAAGCCAGGCTGAACGAGGGCTGCAGAGGATGGGGTCTCACGGGCACAGAAAACCGTAGAAAAGGCAGCCTCACCTACAGAATAAATAGCAAGTGCTCAGTGTTTGCCCGGAGGCGGGGTGCACGGAGGCGCAGAGATGCGCAGAGGCCCCAGGAAATGTGTGATGGTTGGAAACACCTGTTATCTTGATATACGTATGTTTGTGAGAAGCACCACAACCAAACATACGAGACATATACGTGAGAAAATTAAACTGCACACTTTGTATGTGTCTACCTGACCGTACTTCAACTGTGCCTTAATGAAGTCATTAAAAAACACAGAAGGCTACTGGTTGGTCCCTGGACAGCTAAGCATGCTAGAGACGGCTACAGTGTCACACTGTCGGCTGATAACACTGGCCACTCTGCAGAGCTGGAAGATAGAAAGCCACATTGTTTCAATTCACGGGGAATTATCAGATCATCGTGTATCACCCTGGAAAAAAGAATGAGCTCAGAACAGGCGAGAATCGTCAAGAAAGAGGATCTGTTCACAGGAGAGATCTTGTATTCTGAAAGGCGTGGATGGCAGCGAGGCAGGCTGCTGGGGGGCGGGAGGCAGGCTGGTGGGGGGTGGGAGGCAGGCTCCCCACTGCGTAGGAACAGGCTCTGCAGACAGATAAGGGACAGAAAGGGAGGTGGGCTGCAGGCTGGGGGCCTGAACGCGCCGGGGACGCAGAGGCAGATCGCCCAAGAAAACCAAACACACAGGACACGGGCGGGCACAGCCGTGGTGCTGGCGGAGGTCTGCACGCTTCGGGGGCGCACCTGGAAACCCTACAGGAGTCACGAGGCCCCTCAGCAGAATCACAGCAGCGTTAAACTCACAGAAGCCAGC